AGCACGCTTCCGCTGCGCCACTCTGCTGCTCACACTAAGTGTTTGTCGTGCCCCTCATTAGAACAAGAAGAGCCACACGGGCTTTGCTCACGTATGAACATGTCCCCGGCCCGGCCACGCGGTCCCGCTGCAGCTGCCCGCTCCGGAGATACGCTCCAAATACAGCAGGAGTAATGGTCATAACTTAAACTCGAGAAGTTTCGCCTCAGCAGAAGGAAGAAGCTCCTGACGCTGAGGGTGGCGGAGCAGCGGAACGGCTGCCCAAGGAGCGGTGGAGTTTCCCTCTCTGCAGACATTCAAACCCACCTGGACGCGCTCCGGTGTCACCTGCTCCGGGTGACCCTGCCTTGGCCGGGGGCTTTGATCTCCACACGGACCTTCCGATCCGAACGATTCTGTGATTCTGCGGAACGAGAATGGCTTCAGCCACCCGCTCTCGCCACAGGTCAGCAATATTAACTAATTTAGGTCCGAACCACCGATGTGGCACCGCAGAAAGTGTCACGTTCCCAGCTGCGCACTGCCGAACGCGACTCCGACACCCGCCGGGGTTATTGACACAGAACGGCCCCGTGAGGAGCCCGGTACCGCCCCGGCCCAGAGTGCTTTGCGCGTATTTGCATACAGCAGCCCTATTTGCATAACCCCAGTTAGGCGGAGTTTGGGGGTCTGTTCCCCCCTTTCCTCCATCTCCTGCCCGCCAGACCCTCGGAATAGTCGGGGTGCTTTGCACGGCTACTGCTGCTCCCATCGACACTGCCGGTTTGTCCGACATGGTCACCCTAACCTTGCGGAGCCCGAATCCTAGAGGTATAAATAGTGGCGGGTAAGGGCACAGATTCGTGCTCGCTTCGGCAGCACATATACTAAAATTGGAACGATACAGAGAAGATTAGCATGGCCCCTGCGCAAGGATGACACGCAAATTCGTGAAGCGTTCCATATTTTTTTCTCCCTCTCATCCGGCCCTCCACGCCTGGAAGAGGAAGCTTCGAGGTGACCACGCTGTCTATAACACAGGAGAGTCAGGAGAGAGAAGACCTGGAGTGGCACGAGGGGAGGTTTAGGTTGCACATCAGGAAGATTTTCTTAATGAAAAGGGAAATTAAACATCAGAATGGGCTGCTCAGGGTGGAGTCACCATCCCTGGAGGTGTTCAAGAAACACCCGGACATTGCACTCAGTGCCGTGGTCTGGCTGACAGGGTGGTGTTTGCTCACAGGTTGGACGTGATGATCTCAGAGGTTTTTCCAACTGATTCTGTGAGTCCTCTCTGGCACCCCAGCAGCCCCCAGGACCCCCAGACACACAGCCAGGATAACAGTGGGTCCCCAGCAGCTCCAAGGAACCTCAAAGACCCAGCCAGGATAACAGAGGGTCCCCAGCAGCCCCCAGGACCCCCAGACACACAGCCAGGATAACAGTGGGTCCCCAGCAGCTCCAAGGACCCCCAGAGACACAGCCAAGATAACAGGGGGTCCCCAGCAGCTCCCAGCACCCTCAAAGACCCAGCCAGGATAACAGTGGGTCCCTTACTCCATCCTGCTGTTCCTGTGCCAAGGTCCCGCTGGCCCTGAAGTCACCAGGATGGCACTGAGGTGCCCTGAGAGGGTGTCTGAGCTGGCTCAGCTCCTCTCTGCACCACACAGAACACGTTCTGCCCAAGAGACCCAAAGACTCAGGGCCGTACCCCAGCTGGGCACAGAAGTTTTCCCTGCAGTAACAAATTCACCATGGTTGCTGCAGAGAATTGACTCACAAATGAGAGTGTTTGCCCTGCAGGGACTCACCTCCAGACTCAGGTTGTGGTGCTGCCACAGGTTAGTACTGTGAAAAATGCACATTTTATGATTGGCTTTTTGCAAATATTAAAATGAATATTATATGTGTTGTGTTAGAAAGTAATGCTGTTAAATATAGTTTTAGGTTATAGCAAAATGTTAAAATAGAAACTGTGCTATGTAGTATACTTTTTTTCTTAAGAAAGGACTTGCAGTGAGATAGCAGTCACAGGACGCCTCAGTCCTTCAGAGAAAGGGAATTTATTGCTCCATTATCAGGAGAAATGAACTTCTTCCCGCCTCACTCAGCCATGAAGACGCCGTTAGGATTAAGAGGAAGAAGTTGACACTGACCAGACAGAATCCTGTGTGTGAATGGAATTTATGCATCATGTATGAAGTGTATGAATATGCAACAGGTTTTTGAGGTTTTTAAGGGTTAATCCTTTGTTAACATGGGTCCTTTTTCGAGCTTATTTTGCCCAGAAAAAGGTACCCAGACCATCCATAACTCTTTGTTTCTATTGTCTCATATTGTCCTAATCCAAATTGTCCAAATTATTATTACTCTAATTATATTACTATTTTTATAAGCATTTCATTACTATTAAACTTTTAAAATTTTAAAAACAAGTGATTGGTGTTTTTCACAGTACCTTTTGTATTTCATCTTCTCCTCACTATCCTTTGCTTCCTCTGGCTCTGGCACTGCCAGGCTCTCCTGACCACTGCATGGCACACACCTCAAAGATGGGCATTCTCTAGTTCTCACTATTTCCTTCTGAGGATTGTCTCCCCAAATTGGCTTTATTTTCATGCAGGATGTTCCTAAGCAAAGCAGTGGGACTCTGCTCCACAGAACAGCAAATCCCCTGGGCATTGCTCAGGTGCTTCCCTGACGGAAGGAGTGGCTCTTGCTCAAAAACTTCCCGTTCTGTAATTCTCCTTCTTTCTCCACACTACAGGATCTCACTCTTGTGGGATTTGGTGCTGGCTACCAAAAGAACAGGGCAAAATTTGGGCACAAAGAGCAGCACTGAAAGCACAGGTACCACTCAGAGTTACCAGGGGCCAAAAAACTCGAGTTCCTTTGCCTAGAGGGTGTGCAACAAAACACTGAATCGAGATGGACTGCTTCCCTTAAAGATCTACAGCTACTGCAAGAAAATGGGGAGGTATTTTTGGAATAACTCTTTTATGGAATAAGGCTTTTATGAAGAGGTAGTGCTTTTTTGGCTTTGGCACTGGGGATTTTGTTTTAATTCTGCCTGAATCCTGTGATGGGGTGAGTGAAGCTAAATGAGGTGGGTGCTTTTTGAAAGAAAAAAGCAGAACAGAGGCAGATGGCGAGGGGGAGAAAGTAAAATAGGAAACATGAAACAAATATATTGTTAGAGATGCCATTTTTCTGTAGTAAAAATGCTTCAGCTTCTTGGTTTGATTGACTGTTCTTTTTTTCTTTTTACTTCATGTTTTCTGCCTGTTTTATTGCATGTTAGGTACCACACAGCATAATTCAGTTTCTTTTTCATACAAAAATTATTAATTCTCCTCGGATATTATGATAACAGATAAAAGAAGGAAGTTGGGAAGCTCATGTGAAAGAATTTAAATGTGATGAATCATCCAACCTCAGCAGTGAACAATAAGCATGAGGAATTCTACTTTAGTATTACGTGGATTAGGCTGCTCAAGGTACAGTCAGAGTGCAGGTCTTGGCTTCACTTTCATTAAAATTGGCAGGTATGATTGTCCCTCTCTTGTTTAGATAAAATTATCCAAATATTGCTCGCTAACTTAGTCTGAGTTTTTAGTTATTATTTTAAAACAGGCTCTGTCAGCAGGAGTGTGTGGAGGTGCCAAGGAATGCAGGTTTCTCATATGTCACTGCTGGAACACACTGTGACAACAGGGATTGCAAATTCTCACTGCATTTTCTTTCTCTTGGTGTCACTGATGTAGTATTTTCACAGGTAGGTCGCATTTCAAACATCTTTTGCTCTTCAGAGCAAATTTCTAGTTTTGTCTTTGAATCTGGCCTTTCAGAAGGTAAGATAACCACACAGTATTTTGGATATCCATCCCGCGAATTGCTGCTTGGGAAAACAGTAGATTTTTTATCGTGATACATAACTGAAGTTTGTTATTAAACAAATATTTAAAAAAACCCCAACATACTGGGTTATTTATTCCTCTGTGCTTCAGCGAAGGGCTAAGAACAATTTTTACCTGAGCGCCACTGGCTGCTCCCTCAGGACAGGTTTCAAGTCATTGTCCTGCTTTAACACTTAAAATCCTTTTTTTGGGACTTTTTCTTTAAAACTGGGGCAGGCCCCTCACGTCACCCTGGCGCCATTACTGCGCGCCGCCGGTCACATGTCCTTTGTTTACTCCGGTCACTGCCGCGGCGGGTGAGGGACGGACAGACCGACCCCGACCGACAGACCGACCAGGGGCAGCGGGAGATTGGTGTGGGGGAAAAAGGGAATGGCGGCGGGGAACGGATGTACCCCGCAGGGGCGCTGTGAGGGCTTGTCCCCTCTTGAGGTGCGCTTGTCCGCCTTGCGGAGCAGCGAAAGGGGCTGGTGTGCCCTCAGGGATGCATGAGGCGGGAATGTCTGTGTGTGTGTCTGTGTGTGTGTCTGTCCTATGAGGGGTGTGAGGCGGGAATGGGCCCTCCCACTAGGAGCGGTGTGAGGTGGGAATGGTCACTCCCGTTAGGAGCGGCGTGAGGCGGGAATGGCTCCTCCCCTCAGGGGCGAGGTGAGGTGGGAATGGCTCCTCCTCTCTCCTCAGGGGCGGTGTGAGTTGGGAATGGCTTCTCCTCTCTCCTCTGGAGCGGCGTGAGGCGAGAATGGTCCCTCCTGTGCCCTTAGGAGCGGCGTGAGGCGAGAATGGTCCCTCCTCTGCCCTCATGGGCGGTGTGAGGCGGGAATGTCTCCTCCCCTCAGGGGCGGTATGAGGCGGGAGCGTCTCCTCCCCTCAGGAGCGACGCGAGGCGGGAATGGCTGGTCCCTCCCGTCCGGAGCGGTGTGCGGGGCTGTCCCCGCAGTCCCTCGCCATGTTCCGCCTGGAAGCGGCCCGGTTCCGTGCCATTTCTCCCGGAGAGACACCGAGGGGATAGACCCGAGCGGGTGGGCACGGCTGGGGAGCCGCCGGTGCGGGGCTGCAGGAGCCGAAGCTGTTCGGCCATCGGTTCTCGTTGTGCTGGCTCGGGACCCTGAGGTACCAGCTGTTGTTCTGAGCTGCCTTTCAATAAAGCCTGTCCTTTATTTTCAGACTCAGCATGTCCCTCCCAGCAAAGAGATGTGGAAGGCCCCCAGTGTTGTCTTTTCTGGAAAACAAGAGAAAGCGAAGTGTTGATAGAAGAAGGGGGAAAACAACAATTTACGTGGGAAATCACATTGACCGGTAGCTGACGCTCAAGGAGAAGTTGGATCTAAGAAATGACGTAGAAGTCGCAGAGTTTTTACTGGGTATGTGAGTAGATTTTCACGATATTCCTGTTTGCTAATAGCAAGTAAATAATTCTGAATGTTGACACCATTTGCATTTTTTCTTTCTAGATATGACAGCTACAACCTGTTGTCAAAAGCTCTGCTCTGTCCCCTCTGAGGGTGCAAGAAGGATCACTGGGGAGGAAGAAAGAGCATTGTCAGCCAGCACTCCTTTAATAGCAACAGATGGAATGTTAGTATTGTCCTCTCCTTACTTGGGAAGGGTGAATAAAATATTTTTCTTGGTACCACTTGAAGGACTGTAGCTGACATTTAAAAATAATGAGATAAAAGTTATATATAAAAAGGGAAATATACAGCTAATTTTAGTTAAATTGAAGATGCTGAATATCTTTTGTTCTTACTTTTGATTTTAGTAGGTGAACGAGTTGGTGTTTGGAAAGCAATTCTGTGGCAGAGAAGAATCCTTGGAAGCTAGGTCAGGAGCAAATAAATACCAGTGCTGATGAAGCTGAAAAATTCAGGTACATTCTTCAAAATAGCACTTTCCTCTGGCACTTTAATTTTAGTTTGGAGTGCAGCAGCAACTGAATCCCTGGGACTGATTTGATACAGGTGAGACAGAGGGCTTGTGTTTAATTGATTGCTTACTTCAGCCTTCTGACATGAGAGAAATATTCAGAAAAATTTTTTTATATGAAAACAACTTCATTGCCCTAAAAGGTAAGGCAGTGAGGCTTTGGAACACTCATGATATCAGTGTGGAGGTTCTAAATCCCACCAAATACATAAAATGCTGGGCAGATGATCAGGCATTTACACAGTGGTGATTGTACAAGGCTAAGGAGCAACTGCTGCCTGAGAATGAGGAGAGTAAAAAATAAGAGGAGTTTAATGAGATGGGCATCCATGCTGTGTTATTCCAGGGAATGTTTCCTACCAGGAGCAGTTGTATAACCTCACTATGGGGAAAATGGTTTGTGTTTCAGTGTCTGAACCCCACATCAGTGGTGACACTGTTGGCTTTGTCTTTGGCTCCCAGGAGAGCAGTGAGGTGGAGTGCTGATGTCCACACAGGGATCAAATCAGCTGCCCAAAGTCCTGTTGGTAGCTGAACTTGCACATTAAAAGACCAAACTCAATTGCTAACTCAGTGTTTTTAAAAATCTGGGCAAATAGAAAATAGTGAGTTTTCTTCAGAAAGGAGCAGCGTTTATGTTAATGTATATCTCTTTCTTGTTTTCAGAGGTGTGGTACTGCCCTTCCTACTGAAGGGAGGAGATGCAGGAGGGTATTTCCTGCTTCCCAGGCTCTTGGCTGTCATCTTTTCCTGTTGTTGTTTTGTTTGTATTTGAATTAATAACCATAAAGCAGCTGTTGTATTCCAGGCTTTTTACTCTTGAGTCCAATTTTAGGTTGGCTAAGCAGTAGCTATTAGGGGACTGCACACAGTGGAGGAGCAACACTTAAATTCAGCTTCTTTGGTGGCTCAGGGTTTGGTTTCTGCCTTGGTTTTGGAGCCTGCTGACATTGCCTTTCAGCAGCTGTAGAGAATTGAGTTGATGGAGAAGCAGTGGGGGAGTCAAGTAGATTCTTGCCAGGTGAAATGGGATGGATTTTGGAGTTGTGGCTGTTGTGAGGAGTTGGCAGGCTGATATAACAGGAAGGAAAGAATGTACAGACATTCTGATTTAAAGGGGCATTAGCAGGGCAAAGCCAAATGGAATGGTTACCAACCACATCCAGTAAGGTTTCCAGCCCTTCTCCAGTGCTTTTTCTGTTATTAGCTTCTAACTTTAACATTTGGAATTTAACCAAGCTTATTTAAAATTCTTTTTCTGGTGTACATGTAACAATTGCAAAGCTGTCAAAGCAGATAACAAACAATATTTTTTAAGCTATGTGTTATTTGCTCTAACATTGAAAAGTAATAGCCAAAGTAGTTGAACAGGAAGAAGGTTTGGGGAATTTGAGATGCTTTTACTGTTTTAGTAGTTGAATGATAGGGATTAAAAAATTCCTTTACTGTGTCAAAAGACAAATTCTCATGATAGAACTGCCCATGCCAGGGGATTGGAACAAGATGATCTTTAAGGTCCCTTCCAACTCAAACTATTCTGTGATTTTATGAACCAACTTTTTTGGGATTTGGTCATGGACTGTATCTTTTTTATTTTTTCTCAGTTCAGTAAAAACGAAACAGAATGCAAATCTGAAATGGACACTCGGGAGTGTCAGAGCAGTTCAGAGAGGATGGCTGAAGTGTGCAGTGGGATGAGTTGGTGTCAGTCAGTAACAAATGTTGAATTGGGAAGCCCCAACTTTGTGGGAGGCTTCAGCCTGTCCCTGTCTCTCCTGATTTGGCCCTGGCATCTCCTTTTGTAATGATTTTTGCTTCACAGCTGTGGGACTTTGCAAGATTGTGTTGCAGAGCTTCTCTTCATCTTGAGTAAAGTGTTCTCTGAACAGCCATGTGGTTGCTGTCCAGCTGGGAAGTGCAATTCCCTTGGAAAGCAAATAAACAATCTCCAGGGAAGGTCCAGCAAGCTGTTAATGCTACAGCTTACCATGGCAAAGGTGATCAGCTGAGGAGTTTCTTAGCAAGCAGGAAAGTGTGAGTTAAATTTTAAAGAAAAAAGGAAAGGAAAAAAAAAAAAGCCTGATAAATATAACTTGCTTAGTAGGACAGCTTCCTGTTCTCTTCAAACAAATCAATTTTCAGTGCCTTGTTTTGACTAGTTGCAATTTTTAATTGGCTTAAAAGATTCTGCATGTACTGCTTTTGATCTTTAGTGTTCATAGTTTGTTTTTAATTAAAGAAAGGAGAAAAAAAAAGAAAAAAAAAAAACCAAAAAACAACCACCCCCCACCTCTGTCAAACCACAGTCTGTGGTTGTTTCACTAATGTGGCTTCAAAGGGACTGCAACACAGCTTTTCCTTACAGACAATTGAGTGCTTAGTGTCAGACAAATCATTTATTGGAATGCTGAATGCTGGCCTGTATTTCACTGTAGTGAAACCTCTGTTTGTATATCATAAAATATAAGCTGTTGGTCTCTTTATGGGTACTGCACATAGAAAAGCACAAATGCACTTACTGTGATATTTCCTCTTATTTCCAGGTTAGGAGATTGTATTAAGGGGGTGCACTTCCCTAGACATAGTGAAACAATATAAATTTATTTCATGTTTAAGTGTTTGAATGTCATATTGTAACTGTTATTTCTGTGTTGCTTTTCAGGGTGAGCAGCAAGAAGAAAATCAAGCTCTTGCATAACAACACAGGGGCAATTTTTGCTCCATTTTGATTTTGCTATGAGGATCTTGTGAACTGTACAGAATTACTGTAAGTTGTGTGAAATTCTATGTTGTGTTGAACAGCACATTAAACTCAATTACCTGAAGTTTTATTGTGTTATGTCAATGTTTAAGTGTGTGGAGTGGATTATTTCCCTGGAGGAGTCTGTACAGAATTCTCTGACAGGCAACCAACAAGGACAAGCCCAAGTGCTCATAGGTTAGTCAGAATTCGATAACTTTTTGTAGGTTATTTTAATGACTGAGTTCCTTACATTTTATTTAAAACTCAGAAGGGTTAAGATAGAAAAAATATTCTGGTGTCAGTTGCAGCATCAAGTGTGCTTCCATCTGAATGTGTTTCTTGGAATGCTTCTCTTTGGGGAACAAATGTAACATATCCCATGTATTGGAAGGCACACATGGAAGGGAAAGGATGGGTAAAAATGCTGGACTGTAGATTGCATTGGTGCCTTTGAAAAAATGGATAATTGAGATCAGCTACTGTGGTGCTTATCTAAAATCTGTCATTGAATCATTTGATGTCTAGCTTTGCTTTTGATAGTACAGAAGCTGATACATGAGCTGATAAGTGATCATGTTAATTATTTTCTTGTGTCACAGAGATGGAGTAAGAGCAGTACTGGCAGTAACTGGAGTTCTACAGAACAGTGGTGGTGGTTCTGAATGTTTTGTAGTTACCAAGTGTGAGTAATCCTGGGGAGGTTTGAACCAAGAACTTGAGGTTGGTGCAGCATTCAGGGTATTCAGTGTTTGGTTATCAGAAGCCCAGAAACTTCCAGTGTTCTGATATGAACTTTTTTTTCTTTAACCACACACTTGCATAAGCTTTCAGGTCTTGATCTTACAGTATTCAAGCCAGCTGGGCTTTCCCACCAGCTTACACTGAACAGCCTCACTGTGGGGAGAAATTCCCCTAATGAGATCATTCTAGTCTGCATTCAGTTCTTTAAATCAGCTACTGCACTGGCTGTAAGAAACTGCTGTTGCTCTTAAATATTATCATGATGCTTTTGAAGTATCTGAATTCAATGTTGCTTTATGAACAATAGATTTTACTGAATGTTGGACAGATAGATTAAAAAAAAAAAAGTTGAGAAGGCAGTTTTTTGAGACTTTCTCAAAATGAAAATGCCACTTGTTCTGTATTTGTGTTTTCTCTTTGCTCTGTACCTTTCAGGATTTTCTTTGACCAAACAATGACTCATGTAAATAACTCAGTTTGGCTCATGGAAGGAGAGGGACTGGTGGCACCTGTGCTCAGTGGAGCCTCTGCCAGTGCTCTCAGATTTTCAATTGTTGGTGTCATTGCAGTGAGAAGGGAACAGGGCTCAGCCTTCTGTTACATTTTCCTCCAAAGTCCTCAAGATCAGAAGAATCCACAACTGCATATTCTCAGCCATTCAACCTCATTCTTGTGCCTTTTTAAATGCACACTGCAAATATTTCTATTATTTAATGACTTGCTGTTATGCAGGTAGAATAACACTGCCAGGACCTGATTTGTTGAGTTGCACTCACTGTGTAAATTACTGGTAGAAGGATTATTCTTGTTCATAGTACTGAAATAGAGCACAAGTCATCCCTTCCTAAGGCTTCCTACAAACCTCCCATGACACTGGCACTTCATGCTGAAGAAAAATCAAGAGAAAGAAGACTTCTAAACATTTCCCTTTGTAGTGTTACAGTGTGACAGGTGATGTATTTGGGTTGCTCTGTGAGCATACACTTTTGAATATCTGACTTCTGTAGAGCAGAATATTATCATTGCTGTTTTCCAGTAAAGTTAGCAGAGTGGTGAATGGAAATGATTCTGGAACAAGATTCTTCTGATGGATATGATAAACAGTGGCTCTGCTTTAGTCAAAATGGCCAAGTCAGGCTTTCTGCTCCTGTGGGTCTGTAAAAATTGTGGAATTTTCTATGTTCAGATCTCAGAACTAAACCCATAAGAATTACTTACCCTCTTATTGCATTGATACATTAAAAATGTAAATTAGGAGAATTACCTTAAGCAGAATCACAAGTTGTGCTGTTGGCAATACTGAATACTTAGGGCATAAACCTATAATGTTGAATTATAAATAAATATAGGAATTATAAATAAATATAGGAAATGCAGGAATAAGGTACTTGTTCTTCTTTTTTAGGACAGCTTCCAAAAGCCATAGGCAGAAGAGGATCTCTGATGGAAGTCTGGAAATGCCCTGGTGAATGTCAGAGTGTTCTGTGAGAGCCATTGCAGGGCTGCCAGGCTGGCCAGGGTAACAGTGCCTCTGGCTTCATGTTCCAGCTCCCACAGCTGCTGCTGCTCTGCCCTTTTCCTTTTCCAGTGTCCCCACAGCCTCTGGCACACTTGGAGTCCATGTGATAAGCTGGGGACAGGAACTCACCTAAACACACCCTCAGAAGGGTGGTGCCTTTGACTTTTAGTTTTTATTTTTTTATTCCTGTCAGTGCTTTCATGTGGTTTGTCCTGTCACACCAGGGAGGTGCTCTGAGGCTGGGAACCAGTGGCAAGCCCAGGAAATGACAGCAGCACTGCAAGCTTGGGATTGAGCTGTGGGCTGAGCACTGATCTGGGATGTGAAACACCTTTTCACCTTGTAGGCATGCAGAAAAGCACTGAGGAAAAAGCTGATCCAACTATTCAGATTATTATGTCAAATTATTCTGGGATCTTAGGCAAATAATACCTATTTTTGGTGACAAATGTAAAGCCTATTGAGCATTAGAAATATGATATTAAGGGTTTAACTTAAAATTATGACCTTCCAGAATGCTGATTTTAGGAACTTTTTTCTTCATTTGCCTATTCTGCCTCATACCTTCCTAATAATAAAAAAAACCAACAACGAGGTATTAAGAGGAAAAAAACACTTTGTGATGATACTTAGTAGATGTTCGAAATTCACTTGTTTCAAATTTTGATTACTCTTTGATATCAGATCTTTGTGATGTAAAATACAAAGGTGAGTTCCAAACTGCAGGGCAGTATTGATGTGTGTAATGGTGAGTTGACACCAGCTGTTCTCAGAGAGGGTGAGTTTTGTTTTTAAAATTCTGTATTGGCAATTGGAAGAAAAACTATTTTTAGATACAAAAATGTGTCTCTTTTGGATGTCCAGTGATCCTCTCTCCTCCCCTGCTTCCATCCATCCTAATCTTGCTTTATTCACTTACAGCTGTGAGTGATGTTTTTCTTCCCCTCTTGTGCACTAAAACCCTGCCTCTGCAATTACTGCTGCTGTTTTACTGGGGGAAAATTGCCTTTCAGTCTTCTCTTACAAAGGAAGAAAATTAATGGAATGAGATTTTCAGCTGCATTTACATCTCTGGGTTTGTGTAAAGACTGAACAGATTCACAGATTGTCAAAAACAGTTGATAAACTGAGGGAAAAATGTTATCTGTGGAAGGAATTGAAGACTGATACTGGTGTTAATTATAGGGAGCATGTTCTTACCTGTATTTGCTTTTTTCTTTAATCAGAATGGAGCAGAAATCAAAGCATGAGAGTGCATAAATCATGGGACATTACAGAAACACATTTTGTTGTACAAGGACTGTTAGGAGACTTGAAAAGCCTCTGAGGTAGTGGGCTGCAGTTGGTGTATTTGAGTTTTGTCACACTGACACAAACTCAGTTCTTAATGGTGCCTTCAAAGCTTGGCCAACCTCAGAGGGAGCCAAATCCCCCTGCTATGGAATTAAGAAAGATTTATATTGAACAACATTTCTCTTAAAAGCTGCAGAAAGTAAAACACAAAAAGATCAGGCAGGAAGACCATCAGTGACACCAAACTTGCAAATAAAATCATTTCTGCAGAGCTCTGTACCAGTATGTGACAAAAAATGGAATGATGTGTCACAGGTCAGTTTGCAGAATTGTGCTTACATCAATAATCTGCTTGCTGCAAATAACTTCTAAGTGTTTTCTAGGGAGGAAAACAGCCTTATTAAGTAAAATAAAGGCAATTTGAGTGAAAAGTGCCATTAGGGTTCTGATGAGGGAAAATACAAATAGTCCCTTGAAACTGATTAGGAGAAAGTTAAAAATTCATTAGAATCCTGGAGCTGCCAACACATTAATGGAGTTGTTGCATTGCTGAGCTTCTCAATCATCCCCAGCACTGACCAGCCCCAGGGCAGGGCCAGCAGTCTGCAGGGCAGGGCTTGTGTAGCTGCTCTATTTACAGACAGCTTCTAAATGTAATAATGGTATACAAATATATTTTGGGTTAGAAACTTTAATGGTGATATGTGAAAGTTGACTGTTTTTTTGCTTGTGTCCTTGGGAGAAAGAGTTGAAATATTACACATTGCCCTGTTTTAAACTCTCTGTTTCTGGTTTTATTTCTATCTAAGAATCCTGTTAGAAAGTGGCTGGATTTTATCTGCAAAGCTTTTACACTCTGCACATTTCAGGTGGCACAAACAGCTTGTGAGAAATCAAAAAAGTCCTGTAGTCCTGGGAAATGTGCTCTGCTGTGTACTTGATGCGTGTTGCTGTTTTTCTCTAATGCTGCAGTCCATCCTCAGAAAAGCTTTAAGTGCATTTTAAAATTTTAATTTATTATGGTCTAGATATTTATTACATATATAGAAATGCTTTTGTTCATGTTAACTTTCCATGATTTCTACTGAGCAAACTTTGCTCTTCTGTTGTTTGGGATTTGTTTTGTTTAGCCACGTGTTCAGGGGAGGTTTGGGCATTGGGAAAAGATTCTTCCTGCAGAGATGAGGAGCCTGTGGGGCACTGCCCAGGCTCCCCAGGGAATGGGCACAGCCCCAGGGCTGCCAGAGCTCCAGGAGAGCTGGGACAGCTCTCAGGGTGGCATTGTTGGGTGTCCTGAGCCACAAGTTGGGCTGTGCTGATCTCTGTGGGTGTTTCCAGCTCAGGGTATTCTGTGATTCCTTCTCCCAGTTCTGCACCTCACTCAGTGGTTTGAAATGAAAAGCTGCGTGTTGCTGACTGCAGTGACTGTAACAATCACCAGCAAATGATTCCACATCCCTCCTGTGTTCAGTTCTGTCACTCTCCACACATTCAGCTCCCCTGGCAGCAGAGATGCCCCACAGGAGGCCCTGGATGGAATAGGGGACACTTGGAAACTCGGCTGAGAAACTCTGGGTCCTCATCACAGGTGGGTTGTTTGTTTGTGCTTGGAATACAGCCTGTTGCATCATTCCTTTTGTCAGACTGAAATGAAAATAGAGTATCAAATTAAGCACAGGCTAATTCAATTAGCAAAATAATTCGAGGTGGAGGAGATGGGCTTTGAAGAAGCCAAGTCCTCAGCAGAGAGATGGATTCCTGTGTTGAACATGTGTCAGTAATTACTGGCTCTGAGCATCAGCAGCTTCTGCTCACAGGCTCTGTGCTGGCTGTTCTTACACAGCCCCGTGGTGGCCTTGGACTGATGAGGCTCAGCTTCACTTTTCTGCTCCTGATTGAGTTTTGTGGTGCCTGTGTGTTAATGTTCTGAATATCTGCTGAAGGGAACTTTGTTCCTCATGTGTGGTTCTGTTTTCCCCGAGGGTCTCACCTTTACAGTGCTGATAATGCATCACTCAGGTGAATGTGTAGAAGTGAGTGACATCTTTCTGCCTCAATATTCTATATTTGCAGTAGATATAAATTGCTTTTCATTGATTTTTTTTTTCTTTTCTCCCTGGGTCAAAAAGACTTTGGTATTGATATTTGGGCAATATTTCTTTTTTTTTAAAGGTAATCTCAGACCTGTCTGTGCTGTCCATTTTGTATTGCAAAGCATGTTAACATGAGTCTGAATTTTGAAAAGATTCC